CTGAACTTAAATTCCCAAATCTGCTTTGGAGGATCCTCCACAGCCTTTGGATTGGGGCCGGAGCCGCCTCACACTTCCAAGACCTCGTTTTCCTCCTTTTCTGCATCCGCGTTTTCCGTTCCTGGCTTTTCCGGATCTGGAGTTTTCTCCTCGCTCCCGTTCCCGGCCGGCTGCTGGCTCCCACAGCTGCTCCTCCGGCAGGGATGGATCCAACGGGAATTAAAAATGTAGGAGCAGCGCGACGCTCGCCGGGGGCCGAATTTTGGGATGAAACCCCGGGAACACGGGATTTGCGCCCCGTGGGATCTCAGGGAGGTTCGGGAAGTTCCCACTCCTCCCTCCAGCATTCCCAAGGATCCCACCAGGGTCTCCCGTGGGTCCACACCGAGGACGGGCCCAGAGGTGAATTTTGGGACGAACTCCCCGCAACGCGGGATTTCCGCTCCGTGGGACCTCAGGGAGCTTCCCGCTCCTTCCTCGGGCATTCCCGAGGATCCCAGCACCATTCCCGAGGATCCCAGCACGGTCTCCTGCGGGCAGGTGCTGAGGATGGGCCCCGGGAATGTCACGAGCACGGGAGGAGGGAAGATGATGACGCGGGAAGCGCCGCAGGAAACCACGCAGGGCTGGCTGGAGCCGGAGGCCGAAGGCGGCGGACACGGGCCCTGGAATTCCGAGCACATCTGGGAGAATCCAGGGAGAACCTGCGGCCAGAGCAGAGAAAACACCTCGGAATTCAAAATTTGATTCCTCTTTAGTTGTAAATCCCAGCGGAAAAAGCCTTGCTCTGGTTAATCTTTGCTTGACTTTTGTTTTTCTCAGTTTAATCCAATTTTTGATTGATTTTTAGTTAATTTTTTAAAAATTTTCTTTAGTTCTTTAATTTTGTTTTTTAAAATTCTAATTAATTTTCATTGCATTTTTAAAATGCAATTTCCTAACTTTATTTCTTTTAAATTCTATTTAATTTTCATTACTTTTTAAATTTAATTCATTTTTTCAAATCTCATTTTTTAAATTCGATTTAATTTTCATTGGTATCTTAAAAATATTAATCAGTCTTCAAATATAATTCTAAAAAATTTTGTTTCATTTTTTAGTTTTATTTTTAAAGAAATTACTTAAATTTAATGTTACTTGTACTTTTTCTTTACTTTTTTAAATTCTGGTTTTGAAATTTTTTGTTTAATTGTCAATGCTAATTTTAAAAATAATATTTTATTTTTAGGTTTTAAAAATTTTATTCGATTATTTAGTTTAAATTTTTTGATATCAGCTTGAAATTTTATATTTAATTTTAGCTTTTTTTTTTAAAAAAGAAATTACTTTATTTTTTAAATGTTACTTTGAAACTGAACTCCCAGCTCGATTTCCCCTTTTCCCCACACGCCTTCCCAAAAAAAAAACCCACCCTGGCTTTATCCAGGCCACAATTCCAGAATTTTCCGTCCCTTCCTGGGATGATTTGTTTATCTCAGCGTGCCCAGCCCTCACTGGGATAATTACCCAGAGCAGATTCCAGAGCCTGGGATCGCTCCCGGCTCCGCATCCACGTCCGGAGCGGTTCCTGACAGCTCCAAAACCCCTGGAATTCTGGAAAATTCCTTCCTCCAGACGAATTCCAGAGGGCCCAGAACTCCACCGGGAATTTTGGTGCCCAGATTTTTTTCCCCCCTGGACTCTGGGTCCGCAATTCTTGTGGAATGAAATCCAGAATTCTGGAATCAAATCCAGAATATCTCCTGGGATTTTACCTGTCAGCGTTCAGAGCTGTGGAATGCGGATGATTCCCGATAAAAATCCCTTGAATTTCTGTCCCTGGAGGAATCCGGGCTCTTCCAGAGGCTCCTTTGGAGGTAGGTGTTGGGTTAAGTCACCAAATTCCTGTTTTCTCTCCAAAGATTCTGCTGGAAAAGTCCAGGGGAATCCCATTATTTATCTGATGGGGATTTCCATGGAGATCATACGCTCTTTTCGGAGAATTCCCAAAGTTTTTGGGTGGGAAAACAACGGAATTGGAGTTTCTTCTTCCCAAAAGTGCTACAAAAACGGGGTTTTGCCCCAAAGAAATTCCCTGGCAGGTTGGAATTGGGGGAGAAACAACTTTTTATGAAAAATGGGCTCAGTTTGGGTCATTCTGGCAGGAAAATCAGGAGGAAAACAGATTTTCCTCCTTTTTACCCCATAGGAAAATAAATTTGATTTACTAAAAAATTTTTGGGGGATCATACCAAGAATTCCAGTCCCCTTTTCTAAGGCTGGACTCACCCCAAATACCCAACAAAATAATTCCCAGCAGGGAATCTCCCTTGGAATTTTTTGGAGCTGCAGAATTCCCGTGAAATTCCCGATTTCTTCCGTTTCCCCCCAAATTCTGGAACGGAAGGGAGAGGGACTTACCAATATTCCAGGAAGGAATCGACGGGAATGTCCGGGGGGAGCCCCAAATCCTTGGAGTTTTATAAGAACTCCCGAACTTCCAGGAAGCTGAGGCAGCCTTTGGGCGCGAGGCTTTAATTGCCCTCCCCTCATGTGTAATAATCTTAATTACTGCTAATTATTTTGGGGTTGTTTACCCGCGTTATTCCCTTTTCCATGGGAATCCCTGCTGCATCCCCTCCCAAGGATTCCCGCGAAAAGTGAATTCCGGAGGGGATTTTACCGTTTCTGCCTGGATTTCCAGTCCTGGGATGGTTTAGGGTGGGAAGGGGATTAAATCTCATCCCATTCCAACCCTTTTCCAGGCACAGGGACACTTCCCGCTATCCCATCCCAATTTTCGGCTAAAAATGCCTCGAGGGAGGATTAAATACGAGAGGAAAAACTTTAATCCCGTGGAAGCTGGGAAAATTGAGGAATTTCACGGAGCTTTGCTGATTTTCCGAGGATTTGGGTGGATCCCCCGAGCTGGGAGAATCCCAGAACTCCGGAATGGGTGTTTTATGGAACTAATTGGGAATTTTTATGGAATTCATCGGGTAATTTGGGGATTCCTCAGGCGGGAAGGGATCCCGCTCAAAGCTGGCACAGGATTTTTGGGATGGCTCTGGAATATCCCCACTGAGGCAGAGCCAAACATTCCCCGGACAATCTGTTCCAGTGGAAATTCCTGGGAATCAATTCCCACTCATGGAAATTCCCCCAGGCTGAGCTGGAGCAGCTTCAGAGCCAATTTCAGGGTGAATTTTGAGGAGAAATCGATTGTTTTTCTTAATGAATATGCAAAATACCCGGAGCTGGGCTGGAGAACAACATCCTGTTTATTTGTGGAAGAGGCATTTCCATCCAAGGGGGAATATTCCAGAGCTGCTCCGATCCCCGAGGGGTTTTTCTGGGATAATTTGTTATTCCTATTACAGGGAAAAAAACGCTTTGCATGCATAAATTCCTCGCGAATATTCCTGGCGTGTTTCGACATCCCCTCGTTGCGTGGGAACCTCGTTATCGGGATTATTTCCCTCATCCTTGTCCCAAAAGACAATTCCGGGTTCTCACTGAGTTTTCCAAAGGAAAAATTCAGGGTTTGAATTCCTCCTTCCCAATGGAGGCCGGTCCCGTCGCGCTCTGTCATCGCAGATTCCTGGGAATACGGTGAAAATCCCATTTCGTGACCTTTGATAATCCCACGCAGCTCGTGGATGTCTTGGCGGCTCCAGGACCGATCCCCGCTTGGAGCTTTCCTCCTTAAAAAACAGTGAAAATCTCCCGGGAAAAAAAAAAAAAAAAAAAAAATTGGAATTTTTATTCCGATGCCGCTTAACCTGCGGAGCATCCAAACCCCCTTCGGAGCGGGAATTCGTTTTAACCTCCCGGTTTTTCCCCGTGCGAGGAAAAATTCCCGTCTGCACTCTGGAAGCGGGAGCTCCTCTGGGAATCGGGAATTTTTTGGGGGGAAGATGAGGATGGAATTCCGGGCTCCGTTCATCCCTGTGGCCACCAGGAGGCAGTTCCATCCCGCGGCGCCTTCCCCAGGTCTCGTGACCTTTCCAAGGGCAAATCCCAGCAGGAAAACCTCGGGATGAGGGAGGGAGAGGGGAGCAGGAGAGCCTGAGGGTTGTCCCCGTGTGGAATCCCGGCAAAACCCCGCCGCTGCTTCGGGTTTTTATTTTGCCGTCTCAACGTTATCGGCAGCAAATCCACTTAATCACAATTAATTTTTTTTTCAATTTAACCTTTTCCTGTCGATCCATCCCCTCTTCCCCGGGTTTTTTTTTTTTTTTCCCTTTGCAAGGAGGAAAGGCTGAGGAAATTGGGATTATTCAGCCTAGAGGAGCTTTGGGGTGACCCCACTGCGGCCTTGCTGGAGATGAAGGGGAACGTGGGGAGAGATTTTTGATTTCCCCTGGACTGCCAGGAAAATGGAATCGGGTTCAGACTGACGGGGAAAAGTTTCGGTTGGATACTGGGAAGAAATTCCCTCCCCACAGTAAATCCGTGCTAGTGAGCCCAGCCCTAAAATCTCGATTATTTCCATTATTTTACACAAAAGGAGGGGTGCAACAACAGGGGAAGGGTTGGGGTTTTTTTACCCCAGGAGCAGGAATTAGAAACGGTTTTAAAAGCTGGAGAATAAAACAGGCAGAGAGCAGGAATCAGCTGCAACCTGAGTTTAATGCGAGTGGTACAACCTGAGCAGAAGGGATCCCACAACAGTAAAAAACAGGGAGCAGACGAAGGTGTAGGCTCGAGGTTCCGAGCGGCTCAGAGCTCCTCAGCCTCTCCCCGACACCTTCCCGGTGCTGGAAAATCCGAATTTGGGGTCAAATAAAACGGGGGGTTCGCTCTGTGAGCTTAACTTGGGCACCACAGGGGGTAAAACCAGGCTTGGGGGGCAGGACTGGGGAGGGAGGGGGAATCACCCCAAACCTCGGCTCCGGGGAGGGGGAATCACCCCAAACTTCGGCTCCGAGGAGGTGGAATCACCCCAAACCTCATTTCCATGGAGGGAAGGATCACCCCAAGCCTGGTCTCCATCCCCCGCGGGATTTTCGGCTTCTCCCTCACCAGAGCCACTTGGAAGCGCAGCGGCTTTTCTTGGAGTGGCCGGAGCGCTTGGCCGGGGCCAGGCGGGAGGGTCTCGGGGCCGACCGGGGGTGCTGGACACAGCGGGCCCTGCTCAGCTGCTGTCCCGAGCAGCTCCGGCCCTTGCTCGCCTGCAGCGGCGCCGAGCCCTTGGCCACCGCTCGGAGCGGGGGACACTCCTTGGCCACCGCTCGCAGCGGGGGACACTCTTTGGCCACCGCTCGCAGCGGGGGACGCTCCTTGGCCACCTTGGCCACCCCGCCGGTCACCTCGGCGCTGCTCAGCCGCTGCTCCGAGGAGCAGCAGGCGACAAATTCCTGCGTGGGGTAGCCCTTGGAGCACCTGTGCGGGGCCACTGAGCCCAGGCGCTGCTGCGGGAAGGGCTGCGGGGGACACTCGGTGACCCCTCGGAGGGGCAGCGAGTAGCCGCTGGTCAGCTCGGGGCGGCTCGGGGGGCTCTTGGCCACCTTGTCCCGGCCGCGGCAGGAGGACGACGAGCAGCGGATGCCGCACGGGGGGAAGCGCAGCCGGCCGGGCTCGGGGCAGCGCGGAGCGCAGGGCGGGAGGCTCCGGGCCACGCGTTTCTGCTCAACGCGGGGGCTCCGCAGCCCCCCGGGCCGGGCAGCAGCTGCGTGGTCTCGGGGTAGAGCAGCAGGAATTTCTGCACCAGCGGCTGGCACGGCAGCAGCGGCACGGCGGTGGCACCTTGGGGACAGGCGGGCCAGCGCGGCACCGGGCTCTTGGTGATGCTCAGGGGGTGGCAGGTGTTGGCGAAGGGCTCGGAGTGAGCCGGGCACTGCGGGAGGAACTCGGGGATGAATCTGGGGCCGCCGGGGCAGTGCATGGCGGAGCGGCGCCTCAAACCTGAAAAAAAACCCAACAAAAAACCAACAAAAACAGCGATTTCAGCGATTTTTTTTTTTTCTTTTGGTGACTCAGCTCCAAAACTCGCCCGCACGCCCCGCTCCCCTCTCGGCCCGTGACTCAAAGCTGGGGCGTGTTTGGGAGGGGAGACAAAATCCCGTCCTCCGTTCCGGATTGCGCTCTCAAAAGCCTGGAAAAAAATGCGGAATTTCAGCCCAGCGGGTTCGTGCCGCCCTTCAAAGCGCGGCCCCGGAGCTTTGGGGTGACTCCCCAAGAACCTCCCTGGGTCGCCCTTTCAAGTGGAGATGAAAGAGGAGCCAAAATTAGGGGTGTGGTCCCCCCCCGGTAATCGCCGGGTGTCGCCACCAGGCCACGCCCGGGTCAGGAGAGATTTTGGGGCGCTCCCATCCCACAGGAATTTGGGGTCCTGTCAGGGAAAAGCCAAAAAAAAATTCGTTGTTTTTTTTTTTGTTTTTTTTTTTAAGGAATTTCGGCAGGATGGCGTCAAAATATTCAAAATATTTGGTGGAGAGAAGGTAAAAAATCAAAATGCCGGCAGGATAAAGGGATTAAAAATACCAAAATCCCAGAAGATCTGGGGTTGGAAGGGACCTCATGGGTCCCAGGGTTGGAAATGGCTCCGGCTTCGCTGATTCTGGGAGAATTACACCAAATAAATCAGCTCTTGGTGCTGCACCACTTCTCCCCTCTGAGAATTCGCCCTATTCCTTGGAAATCGCAGGGAAAAAAAAATCCCACTCCAGGAAAAACTCCATTTTTAGGGAGTTTTGAAAGGATTATATTGACCTAAAATGGTTTCACTCAGATATTTTTCCTTTTTGAGAGAGAGTAGAGCATTAAACGAAAAAAAATTACATTGCAGATTGTATAAAAAATAAAATTAAAATGACATTGTGGGTTGTAAAAAAATTAAATTTACGTTGTAGATTGTATAAAAATAAAATTAAAATGACATTGTAGATTGTAAAAAATTAAATTAATGTTGTAGACTGTATAAAAATGAAATTAAAATGGCATTGCAGATGGTATGAAAAATAAAATAAAATTAAAATGACATGGCAGACGGTATAAAAAATAACATTAAAATAAAATTACACTGCAGATTGTATAAAAAATAAAATTCAATCGCTCTCCAATAAAAACAACAGCCGGGAAAACAACGGCAGCAATTAACACCAAAGATGGAACCGCCTCTTAATTAGGGAATTGTTTATGCAATGCCACTCATTATTGGGGGGTTCAGCCAGGAGTTTTTTTAGGAATTAGGGATTTTGGCAGGTGGAGAGGTTTCATTTTTCCCGTCTGAAATTCCGTCAGCTCCTTGCTCCGGTCGGGAGGGGGAAAAAATAATTAATAAAAATAAGAATAATAATTTCCTTTGTTTAAAATTCCATAAAAGTGGTGGCGAATTCCTCCTCTTCCTTCGAAGGAGCTGCCGAGGCTCCTCCAATCCCAGACCCGATTCCCGCCGGGATTCAGCCCTTTGTGGAGCCAAATCCCACCAGGGAAAAACCAAAAAAAAAAACCAGGAAACCCCCCCCAAAAATCCCTCTCCGTGCGGAATTCCTTCCCCGCTTCTCCTCAGCGCATCCCAAAAGTCTGGAGGAGCTCTCGGGAATAAAAACCAGGATTTGGGGAAGTTCCTTTGGAAGCCCAGGACTTACCCAGGTCATGAGGGAGAAGAGCTGGGGAGAAGTGTCCGGGAAAGGCCGGGCCCAGCCGGGTTTTTATGGAGCCCGGGAATGCCCCAGGGAATTTGGGAAGGTTGGGTTTGGCTTGGGTGATGCTTTAATTGCACCCCAATCCCGGCCACGTGCGGCTCCGGCTCCCAGGGATGTCCTGGATCACCGGGATCGCAGAGGTTGGAACAGCGAAACAACACAAAAAAATCCCTGGAAAACCCTGGATCCTCAGGAGGTGCCGAATCTTCCCGGAATTCCAGCCGGATTTCCACCCCAAAAAGAAATCCCAGGGGGATGAAGGAGGAATTCCTCATTCCCATGGGAGCCGCGGGCAGGAATCCCTTTGAAAATCCATCCAGGAAGGACTTGGGGCGTCCCATAATTATTGGGACACGCGGATTCCTTCCCGGGAACCCGGGGGAGAGAGAGGAGGGATGGTTTCTGGGACAGCTCCCAAAAATTCCCGGTCATAAAGGGGAGAAAGTCCCAAAAAAAACCCCGAAATTCCCATTTCCTGAACCCTTTGTTCCCTGTTTATCCCACAAAGAAATTCCCAGGGAAAACGAGCGCTGGGCAGGGTTGGGAATGCCGACTTTGGGAGAATCCCTTCTGCACGAGGGAAGGGCCTGGAATTTGGGGTTTTTTGGGATTTTTTGGGATTTTTTTTTTTGTCCCTGGAGTTTAAATTTTTTTGGATCCCTTTAATATGAATCCGACACTTGTGGAATTCCAGGGATTCAGGTGAGGTGCCCGAAAAAGAGGGGAATTATCAGGGAATATCCTCCTTGGAAGGGATCAAATCCAGCTCCGGGCCCTGCTCAGAATTCCCAAAATCCCACCCTGTTCCCGGGAAAACTCTCCTGGAGCCTTGGGAATGTCACCATTCCATTGGTCAGTGCCCGGCCACGGGAATTCCATGGCTGGAATATTGGAATATTGGGAGTATTGGAATATTTGGAATATTGGAATGCCGCGATATTTGGATATTGGACAATTTGGATATTTGAATATTTGGAATTTGGGGATATGGGAATATTGGATTATCTGGATATTTGAACACTGGAAGTTTGGAATATTGGATTATTTGAACATTTGAATATCGGAGTTATCGGAGTGTTGGAATATTTAAACATTTGAATAGGGGAGCATTTCAATATCCGGTTATTTGAGCGTTGGAATTTCGGGATATTGGGACATTTTGGAAATATCAAGCCCCAAATTATTACCCTCGACCTAAATTTCCCTTTTTGTTTCCTGCTTTCCCAGGAGCCCCGGGAATTCCATTTAATTTCCCAGCTTCCCCCGGCTCCACGGGAAATAACAGGGACACGGCGCCTCTTTTCCAGGCGGATCCCAACACTCCGAGGGCTCAAGGGAGGAACCTGAAGGCAAATCCCGACTCCAGCCCGGATTCCTCTCACTTTTATGGATGAACAGCAACAACAGCAATGAACTTTTTAATGCCGAATTCCCTGACCTAAAATTTCGGGAATAAACAGGCGTCGGAGCGCGGATTAATCCGGGTTTTATGGGCTCCGCGATCCCAATTCCTCGGGAAGCTCGGGATCAAGGAGGGCTGCTAATTCCTGGTTGTGCATGAACACGGTGACCTGGCATTAAAAACGTCCTTAATTAGCAGCCGAATGTCCTTAATTAACATTTGCGAGGCCCTTTCATCTCCCGGAGGCTCCTGGGATATTTTGGGGGGGTCATTATTCCCAATTAAACGCTGGGGAAACTGAGGCACTGCTGAGTCAGGGCCAGGGCCGGGCTCCAGCACAACCCGGTCCAAAACATCCCCCAATCCCAGTGACCCCAAAACCCGGGATCCACCCCACTAGAAGGATTTTCTGGAAGATTCTGTGGGAAAAGCCACAAGGCCAACCCCGAGATGGGTCAGCTCCTCCAAAGGCCATGGAGGGGCTGGGAATGTTGGGAAAACTGGGAATGTTGAGCTCCCAGGATCTGCTGGGGCTCCGGGGAAGCTGGAGAGGGATTTTTCCTCAGGAACTGCAGGGACAGGACACAGGGAATGGGGTCAGGGGGGGAACTTGGGTGGGATTTTGGGAAGGAATTGTTCCCTGTGAGGGCCTGGCTCAGGTTATTCCATGGATTTCCCACCCCCGGGAATATCCAGGGCCGGGTTGGAGCCACCTGGGATAGGGGAATGTCCCTGCCTGTGGAACGGGATGATTTAGACGTCCCTCCAACCCAAACCATTCCACGATTTTATCCTGATTTTAAGCAGATCCAGCAGGTCCCAGGAACCCAAACCATTCCACGATTTTATCCCGATTTTAAGCGGATCCAAAGGTCCCAGGAACCCAAACCATTCCAGGATTTTACCCCTCAGTTCTGAGGGGATCCGGAGGGTTGGATCGTCGGGCCACGCCTGGCTCCGGCAGCGGCAGGAGCAGCACATTCCCGGCTGGAAAAACCCCCCAGAATTCCAGGGAGAAGGAATCTCCGGGATCTCCCAACACTTCCAGGAGCTCTGGGACAGCTCCAGGTGGCACCAGGAGGTCACCGAGGCAGGGAGGGGCAGGAGAAGATGCGGGACAGCGTCCCCAGCCCGGCCACACCCTCCTGTCCCCTCTGGCCACCTCCCGAGCTCCTGCTCGTTTTCCTAATGATGGGGCTCATCCAGGGATTTTTCCAGCCTGGATTTGGCGGGATTTAATAAAGGAATGTTTCATATCAAATAAATATTTTATATAAAATATTTCATCCCATTCAATAAATATTTCATCCCAGTCAATAAATATTTAATATTAAATAGATATTATTATTTAATATTTTATATAATAAATAGAATATTTATATTATGTATTTATATTATATATTATATATTAGATATTAGATATTAGATATTAGATATATATTCTATATTTTATAGTATATAGTATATAGTATATAGTATATATTATATATTATATAATATATAATATATTCTATATTATGTATTATGTATTATATATTATCTATTATCTATCATATATCATCTATCATCTATCATATATCATATATCATATATTATATATAATATATAATATATAATATATACCATATTGATATTATTATTAAATAATATTATTTAATATATTATTAAATAAAAATATTACAGTCATTTTATATTAAATAAATATTTAACATGAAAGAAATATTCAATATGAAATAAATATTTCACATTAAATAAAGACGTCCTGTTAAATAAATACAATAATATGAAATATTTATAATAAAATAATTATAACAATATTAAATAATTTTTAACAATTAATTAAGAAATCACCAAGAGGCCAAAACCCAAGATTTTTAATCCGAGTTCAAACAAGAATGTTTATTTAAGTTTATATATATGTACGTAAAATATTTGTATGTTTCTGTAGATAAACTCTGTTTTCAGTGCACATCACGATTTCCCGGAATTCCGTGGGAATTCGGTCCCATCCCTCCAACGCCTTGCGTCAGATCAAGGAAGGAGCCAGAGGCACCTGGAATGTCCCCACGGAAAGGCAGGGAAACGCTGGAAAGCCGGGATAGCGCGGATGGGAGCGGGAGGAGACAAAGATCCCAAATCCCGCTTTCCCAGGGATTGTCCTCGTCACACTCCTCGTCACCAGGGCCACTTGGGGGCCGAGCAGTATTTCTTGGCGTGGCTGGAGATCTTCACTGCCCCGGATTGCTGGGGGACACACATGGTGGCACTTTGCTGGGGGACACAAATTGTCCCATATTGCTGAGGGACACACTTGGTGGCACTTTGCTGGGGGACACACTTGGTGGCACTTTGCTGGGGGACACACTTGGTCATACCTTGCTGAGGGACACATTTGGTGGCACTTTGCTGGGGGACACAGATTGTCCCACACTGCTGGGGGACACATTTAGTGGCACTTTGCTGAGGGACACATTTAGTGGCACTCTGCTGGGGGACACAAATTGTCCCACACTGCTGGGGGACACACTTGGTGACACTTTGCTGGGGGACACAAATTGTCCCATAATGCTGAGGGACACATTTGGTGGCACTTTGCTGAGGGGCACAAATTGTCCCACACTGCTGGGGGACACATTTGGTGGCACTTTGCTGAGGGACACAAATTGTCCCATATTGCTGAGGGACACACTTGGTGGCACTTTGCTGGGGGACACACTTGGTCATACCTTGCTGAGGGACACATTTAGTGGCACTTTGCTGAGGGACACAGATTGTCCCACACTGCTGAGGGACACACTTGGTGGCACTTTGCTGGGGGACACAAATTGTCCCATATTGCTGAGGGACACACTTGGTGGCACTTTGCTGGGGGACACATTTAGTGGCACTTTGCTGAGGGACACATTTAGTGGCACTTTGCTGAGGGACACAAATTGTCCCATAATGCTGAGGGACACACTTGGTGGCACTTTGCTGAGGGACACACTTGGTGGCACTTTGCTGGGGGATGCACTTGGTGGCACTCTGCTGGGGGACACAGATTGTCCCACACTGCTGGGGGACACACTTGGTGGCACTTTGCTGGGGGACACATTGGGTCACACACTGCTGGGGGACACCCTTGGTGGCACTTTGTTGAGGGACACACATGGTGGCACTCTGCTGGGGGACACATTTGGTGGCACTCTGCTGGGGGACACAAATGCTGGCCGCGCCGGTGTCACACCGCTGCGGGACACACTTGGTGACACACCTGCCGTGCCACTGCTGGGGGACAGCGGCGGTGACGCTCTGCCACTGCTGGGGGACCGGCGGCGTCACCCACTGGTAGGACACGCACTGGGCCGCGCGCTGCTGGGGGACACAGGTGGTGACACACCTGGGGACGCCCTGCTGGGGACAGCCGCTGGTCACGCACCGCTGCGGGACACACCTGGTGGCACTCTGCTGCTGAGGGACACCCTGGGTGACGTAGGGCGGCCGCGGCACGCAGGTGGTGACACACCTGGGGACGATCTTCTGCTGGGGGACGCACTCGGGAGGTGGCACCTGCAGCTGCTGCGGCACGCACCGGGTGACACCGGCGACACCCGCGCTCTGCTGCGGCACACAGGTGGTGACACACCTGGGGACGATCTTCTGCTGCGGTGGCGCGCACTGGGTCACCCCCACCTGCTGTGGCACGCACTGGGTCACCCCCACCTGCCGCGGCACGCTCCAGGTGACACCCGCGCCGCCGGTGACGCGCTGCTGCGGTGGCGCGCACGTTGTCACCCGCCTGGGGACAATCTGCTGCTGCGGGAGGTGCTGGGGCACGCAGGGGGGTCCGAGGAGCTGGCGGGGCATGGCCTGGGTGACACTCTGCTGGTGGCACACGCTGGAGGACGTCACCCGCTGCAGGGGGACGGGCACGGCCTGGGGGATGCAGGTTGTGGAGTGCCACCGCTGAGCCGGGAAGGGGACACCGGGGGACAGCGCCACGGGGTCCTGGTGGAGCGCAGGGAGGTGCTGGTGGAGGTAGCAGGACATCTTGGGGACACGTGGCAGGACTGGAAGGACACAGAGGGGGAATCAGGTGGCATCTGAAGTCCCAACCCAACCCATTCGGCGACACCTGAGGAAAACTCTGGTCCCCAAACCTCGGGGACACGTCCCAGCCGTGTCACAGTCCCGGCACGGGTGGGAGGGGCTGGTGGAGGTCTCAGGGACATCTTGGGGACACTTGGGGATTTTAGGGTCCCTCCCCACCCCTTGGGTGACACCCGAGGAAGCCTGGCCGGTCCTCGTGGTCCCCACACCTCGGGGACACGTCCCCACGGTGCCACCACCCCAGCACGGTCCCAGCAGCACCTGAGGGACCCAACCCCTCCTTCTTTACTCTGAGCCACGTCCCGAAGCCAAGCTGGGGACACTCGGGGACACTCAGCGCTGAACGTCATCCAAAAAAACACCCCCCCCAATTCATTAATTAAATTAATTAATGAAAACGAATTTCCCTCGGTCACAAACTCCCCATTTTCAGGAGCAAATCTGGGATTCAGACACTCAGCAGCGAGCACCGAGAGCTCTCTCCAACCCTCTCCCGCTCCAGCACAGAAATTCCAAACAATCCGTTTTAAAATCCCCTCCCGGATAGGATTTTTTATGGAAAAATCAGGAACGCGTCTGGATTTCGTGATCGCGGAATCCCAGAGCGCTTTGGGTTGGAAGGGACATTAAAGATCAACCCAACACCTGCCATGGGACACCTTCCACCACCTCAGATCACTCCAGCCTGGCCTGGGACAATCCCAGGGATGGGAAATCCGTGGAATAACCCGTGCCAGGCTCTCCTCGCTCTCACAGGGAACAATTCCTTCCCAAACCCCACCTGAATTCCTTCTCTTTCACTTTTTCCCCATTCCCGCTTTTTCTGCCGCTCCAGTTCCCGATGGAAAGTCCCTCCCACCATATTTTCTTGCAGGGAATGTTGTCCCTGGAATCCACCAATCCCACCCCAAAACGAGGTGGTTTTTTTTCCCAAAGCCATCCTGGATTTCTCCCTGGAATCCACCAATCCCGCCCCAAAACGAGGTGCTGTTTTTCCCAAAGCCACCCTGGATCTCACCAAACCCAACCTCCAATTCCAAACCCTCTCCAACCTGGCCTTGGACACTTCTTGGGATGGGGAACCTCTGAGCCACCCCAATCCAGCCCATCCCCACTCTCGGAATCAGGAATTCCCTCCCGATTCCCCATCCCAGCATCTCCAGAGGCTCAGGAACCAGACTCACCCAGCTCCCGGGGGCGGGAAGAACTTCCAGAGGTGACCGGCGCGTCCCAGCTCCGGGAGAGCTTTTATAGGGCCTCCGGAGGAGCCGCCAGATCCCGCGACTCCCGTGTCGCTCCCGGAGTGAGTCGGAGCCGCCGACTCATCCCGGACAATGAGTGGTTCCATGGCAGCTTCCCGGAGTAATTACCTCGGGATAATTAATCCTCGGTGGCATTCGGAGCAGCAGCCGCAGCCCCGGGGCTGTTTTTGGGGATTGAACCCCTGGATGTGTGGGAATGGGTTTTCCAGGGGTTTTCCACGGCTGGGAATGGCCCGGGGGTCTCACAGGGTTGTCCCGGTTGTTGTTGGATTTGGGTTTTCCGTGGGATTCTCCAGCTCGGTGGTTTCATCTCATCCACCTCGCAATGCCCGGATTTTTGAGGGTGTCTGGCCAAGTTTTGGGTGTGGATTTCGATCACTGAGGGAAAATGGAGAAAAAAAATCCCCTCTTGTGGTGGGTGCAGCTAATAATCCATCAAAATTATCATTTTTTTAATAAAAAACCCCAATTTTTTAATTGTTGTTGTCAAAACTGGGCTGGGCATTGCTTCTCCTCAGCATCATCAGGAAGAAATCGTCCCACGGCGCCGAGCAGGAAGGGTCTGGATTCATTCCCGGATGCGTTCCCCATGGAGAATTCCATAATTAAAGGAGGATTTCGCCCTCTCTGCTTCTTGCCCCGTGTGGGGCACAATTACCCAAGAGCTCCCAAACTTCCCCGTTCCTTTTCGTGCCCCGAATTATTCGGGGCCCTTTCTCCTGGCCACAAAACCCCCCCGGGCGGGGCCGTTCCTCCCAGCTCACACGAAACCACATTTTTTAATTAAAATTAATGAAAATGCCCCGGCCCTGCCCCTCTCCCCGTGACTTTGGGCTCCGTGTTGGTGTCACCGGGGCTGGGCTTTATTTTGTCCTGGTCCCTCTCGGCTCTGCCGGAGCCAGCGGGGACAAATTGGCCTTTTGGGGGTTGTTTTGTGTCACAATGAACCCACAGAGGCGCCGAGCAGATTTTTAGTGACTTTCAATATTAATTTTTCTGCTTTTGGGGGTTGTTTTGTGTCACAATGAACCCACAGAGGCGCCGAGCAGATTTTTAGTGACTTTCAAAACTAATTTTCTGATTTTTTTGGGGTTATTTTGTGTCACAACGAACCAAGGAAGGCGCTGAGCAGATTTTTAGTGACTTTCAAAATTCGTCTCCTGGTTTTACGAGGTTTTTTTTTCAGTCTGTGTGAGGTGAGGAGTTGAGCCCGTGAGAAAGTCCCACGCGATTTTTGGAGGAGGTTTATTTTGGGGTGACAGCCCGGCTGGTTGTGCAAGGGCTGCCACCCAAGCCGGCCGTGCCTCACCCCTCCCGGTCACCTGAGAGTCACCAGGTGCCACATTCCCGCTGCTCCGAGGACAGGTGACAACCTCGGGATCCCAGGGGTGACAAAAAGCTCCGGGAGCTGATCAACTTCCTCCAGCCCCGTGTGACTTCCCCGGTCATTCACCTCCTTATCTCACAGGGATTAAAAATATCATAAAACCTTTTTTTTATCATTTTTTTAGGTCACTGAAAATCTGCTCAGCGCCTTCCTTGGTTCGTTGTGACACAAAGTAACACCAAAAACTAGAAAATTAATTTTGAAAGTCACTTAAAATCTGCTCAGCACCTTTATGGGTTCATTGTGACACAAAATAACACCAAAAAGCAGAAAAATTAACATTGAAAGTCACTAAAAATCCGCTCGGCGCCTCTGTGGGTTCATTGTGACACAAAACAACCCCCAAAAGGCCAATTTGTCCCCGCTGGCTCCGGCAGAGCCGAGAGGGACCAGGACAAAATAAAGCCCAGCCCCGGTGACACCAACACGGAGCCCAAAGTCACGGGGAGAGGGGCAGGGCCGGGGCATTTTCATTAATTTTAATTAAAAAATGTGGTTTCGTGTGAGCTGGGAGGAACGGCCCCGCCCGGGGGGGTTTTGTGGCCAGGAGAAAGGGCCCCGAATAATTCGGGGCACGAAAAGGAACGGGGAAGTTTGGGAGCTCTTGGGTAATTGTGCCCCACACGGGGCAAGAAGCAGAGAGGGCGAAATCCTCCTTTTTTTCAGGGAATTCTCCATCTCCATCCGGACTTTTCCTGGTCAGCTCCGAGCCTCAGGAGCGCGGCTTTGTTGTGGCTTCTCTCCCGCAGGGATCGTTCCTTTGATCTGAATCCGCGATTCCTCCGTCGCTTGGAGGTTTGAAACCTCCCTTTGACCAAAACCGGCAGCTCCCGTTTTTATAAATATAATTTATAATTAGATATTATTTCTATTCCTTGATATTGATTTATCCAAGTCTGGGCGGCAGCGGGCGGGAATTTCCAGCAGGAATTTCCACCTGGAAAAGGCGGAATTCGCGGAGCGCGGAGTTTCAACCCAGCCTGATCACACCTTGAGAATTCGCCTCTGTTTTTCTTCTCCCTCCTTTTGTTCTGCTTGCCAGAGTTTCTATTTTCGGAGCAGGGAGGGAGCTCTGCATTCCTGGGCGCTTGGCTCAGCCTCCAAAACCTCCAAAACCGCGTTCCTGACTTATTAAAGGCGGAGAACCCACGAGGTCCCACCTGGCTCCTCCTCCTGGGGTTTTTTGGGGACCTCTTCCCTCCTTCCCTCCTCCCTCACCGGGCTGCGGATTCCCGCTGGAGTCAGGCGGGGTGAAAAGGGCACAATTCCAAAATCCCGGAGCTTGGGAATGAATTCCACGGTCGTCGAGTCCCGGCTGTGCCCGATCCCCGCCTGGACACCCAGAGAAACATCCAGGAATTCCTCGGACGCCTCCAGGGATGGGGATCCAACCTTCCCTGAGCCCCTTCCAAATCCTGGCCGCCCTTTCCAGGAGGAATTAACCAAATTCCCAGATTTCCCACCCCGAGCATCCCCTGGCACAGCTCGAGGCCGCTCCCTCTTGTCCCGCCCTCCCGAATCCCCCCTGGAAGAGCCCGGAATTCCCCCTGGATCCCCCTTTTCTCCAGGCTGAGCCCCCACACAGCTCCCTCAGGATTTTCCAGACCCTTCTCCCGCTGCTCCAGCCCCTCCCTGTCCCTTTTCCATGAGGGGACACGGCGCCGAGTGTCCCCAAGGGCCCCGAGTGTCCCCAGCCACCAGAGCGCAGCATCGGCCCGCGCAGGAGGCTCCTGGCACCTGGAAAAATCCCTTGGGATCCTCCCCTCGCCCTGCCTGTCTCCAGGAAAAGTTCAAATTTGGGATTTGGCCCAGCCCAGCCCCTTTTTTTTTTTTTTTGGCCGCTGGATCTGGGAAGAGCCCGAGGGAGCGGCACGGGCTGGGAATCAACCAAGGAGAAGGAGCTGGGGGTCCTGGTGGGCAAAACCTGTCCCAGGGCTGGGTCAGGGAGAGCATTCCCAGGGATCGGGGAGGGATCCCATGGATCAGGGATCCCCCGCCCCTCTGCTCGGCCTCCTGTTCCCACTGCGGGGAAAACTGGGAATGTTGAGGCTGTGGAGACCCCGGAGCCCCTCCCAGGATCTGCAGGGAAGCTGGAGAGGGATTTTTCCTCTGGAACTGCAGGGACAGGAAACAGGGAATGGGGCCAGGGGGACAGAGGGGGAATTTGGGTGGGATTTTGGGGAGGAATTGTTCCCTGTGAGAGCCTGGCTCGGGTTATTCCAGGGATTTCCCACCCCTGGATGCGCGCAAGGGGCTCCAAACCATTCCAGGGTTCCAAACCATTCCAGGGT